CTTCTCTACATTTCCTTCAGCAATATGTTTTTGCTTCAATATCCAAGGGAGTTAACTCTTAAAGCCGCTCGACTCTAGATCGTAAAATGAAACTAAGAATGTGTCCATAAGACGCGGGTGCCCCCACACTCCACTTTTTCAAACTTACGACTCTAGGTCAAATATTGTTTAGGCTACACGTGATATATGTTGAAAATCTTGTATTTAGTCAAGGGCAAGAACTTTAAAAATACTGAATAAATTCACATTCTGAGCTATGCATGAACAAGTTGAAAATTGCAAATTTATACTTGGTCAAGGGCATAACTCTCACAAAACTGAAAATATCAACATGAATAACCCCAGGTGCATAGCTTCACAGTGATGTTGACCATTATTCCTGTCAAGGTGGTTGATTCTAACTCTTTTAATCACTCAACTTCCACACACAACTTCACATGCTGATCAACATTCCTGTAAAATTCATGACTCTTGGTCAAATATTTTTTGAGCCATGTGCGAGATGAAAATCGCAAATTTTTACCATGTCAAGGGCAATTACTCTGACAAAACAGTATAAATCCATAAGCAAAACCGCAGGTGCACAACTTAACAAGGTGAGCAACATTTTTTAAAAGTTCCTTGACTCTAGGTCGAATACTTTTTGAGCTACGTGCAACACAAGTTGATAATTGCAAATTTTGCAATACAATACAAATACAAATACTGAATAAATCAAAACGCATACTCATAATTGTAAAGCTACAACACGAGAAAGGACGGAGGGAAGGAAAAAAGAAAAGACGGACGGACAAGGGTTAATCTAAATGCCCCCCATAGTGGGGGCACACAAACTTAAATAAAATTTTCAGTAAACAGTAAATACTGGTCTAGTTTAGATTAATGTGTAAATCCATTATTACTGACATCTTAATTAAAACAAAATGTTTTTGATTTATAAATATTTTATTGCTCTCTTTGTACACATTTATAACAGTATATTATCATAAAATTATACAAGGGTAGCAAAATGGGTGATCTACGAGTTCTAACATAGCAAACGGTTCTTCCCTGAAATATGTAATTATCTCAATAATAATAACACAATAAGAAACCAAAGTGAATGACAGTAGAGAAGTTGGGGGAAAATGCACAACGAGAAAGAGGAGAAAAAATATAAAGGAGGTGGGGGATAAAGTTCTGTTAGTAGGAATACCAATTGAACGTTGCGAGTATTATTTATAAATATATAACAATGTTAGGATTACTGTCTTCTTTCAAATATAAGGATGACTTAATAAACATTGTAACTTGTCAAAAATAAAGGAGTTATTCTCATCGGCAATTCTTTCCCAAATAAAATGGTTTTTACCCTCAAAGAATTGAAATTGCAGCATGCGCGAAATAACTTCACTCTTACGTGTATTGTGTTACATTTGGAACATTAAAACGTAATGTTCGGCGTCTTCAATACTGTATGTACAGTAGCTACACAATGAGTTATCTCGTAAATTATTTATTATAAAGGTCCGCATTAAGATAACTACATTCGTTCCTAATACGTGCATGGTAAAGAGATAAACTTTGATCCCCGTAGAGAAAATATTTAGAAACAGCATGTGGTTTAAACATTTCTTTGAGATTAGTTTCAAAATATTTAGTGAAGCCGCATGTCTGATATGGTGATCTAGATTTTTCCGTAACTAAATCAATGAAGGAATGAAAGATTTTGTGAATATTTTTGTGTTCGCCGCGCGATAGTCACATATACTTGTAATCATTTCGAAAAAAAGTATGGAGTAGAATTAGCGACACTATCGGGGAAAATATTTATCAAGTAGCAAGAACATTTTTCTGAGGGGCTTTGTACTCTTTTGTTTATGTTTGCATTATTCCTCTATCCGACAAACGACCCAGCCTAAGTAGACGTTCTATAGATACGGATCAAATGTTTATCATTTTCATTTCAGCAAATCCCATACAGCATGTACAGTGGAGGCATATTCGAGGATTGGTCGCATACATGATAAATAAATTTGGTTACTGAATTCCGTTTATAATAAGTTGAAGATTCAATGCTTGCATTGAGCTGATGACATTGTATTATCGATGTGTTCATGCCATTTTACATATTCACTTAATGTAAGTCCAAGTGTCTGTGTGTTTTGTACATGAGTAAATTGGATATTTTCAAAGAATAGTGAAGGACGTAGATCTATATAAAGGAAGAAAGCTTTACATATGTTTTATCTGGATTAAACTTCATTAGCAACTTACGAGATCATTCTTGAAGAGTAAATCAGTCTCCAATCAGAAAAAAAATGAAAATAATGAACAGATAAAAAGGATAAAGAGAAATTATAGCATATATCTGTCAGTGTAACAATATAAAAACTGCTGTCAATTATTTGTTTTCATTTATATCATGACAAACGCACACGTGCAAGCGTACCACGCATACCGAACATACATATAACGCGTTTATTGGAGTATATTGTTGCGATAAAATACCTCCATTACTAGGATGAACATAACATTTTAAAATTTTCAATGTCATTTCAAGATTATACACAGATAACGCTCTATGTACATAAGAATATAAACTAAACACTACGAAAGACCGGTGGTGCTTTCCTACTTCACACTTCACGTTTTGTACCTACTTTATAGTATATTAGAAATGTGAAGTCTGAAACGTGAAGTGTAAAGTGTGAAGCCTGAAGTGTGAAGTCTAAAGTTTGCAGAGTGAAGTGTGATGTTTGAAGTGTTGAATTCACAAGTTCAAACTTAATATTTCTCGATGATTGATCACGTGGTTTACTCGTCATCAGTACGTCATTGGTTCGTTTTAAGTTACAATCGAAAACATTGGACGTTGTAACGTTAATATTTTTCGGACGGCAACGGCATAAGCAATACTAACATGACTGCAGCAATAGCTTTTTATTTTCCGAAAATGTCGAGCTAAAAAAAGATAACAATTTTCAAATCCAAAATGGAGAAATACAGGAGCTAGAGTTATAAATCCAATCACATATGATATACATAGAGGTAACAATCATACTTTTGAAGTTTGAATTAAATCCCTGATGAAATAAAGAAGTTAGAAATAAGGAAAATTCAATGTATACGGGGAAATACATGTAATTCTGGCGATATAAATACTAGAATTATAAACCTTGTCACATTATTATGATATGGGACCTTGTATGAGTAGGACACCTCTCCATACTCTTCGTACAGTTGACCTAAAATCTAGAATGCAGAAATCGATGGCACATAACCTTAAAAATGTACATTAACGTTAAGGAATAATTCTAAATATTAAGAACAAAATGATCTTCTGAAGTATATCTGACTGATAATGCTATTATTATATATGCATACGTCATTCAGATATTAAATGGAATTTTGAATTTCAGATTTCAAAGTCAGACTTCAAACTTCACACTTCAAATTACAGATATCACACTTCAAACTTTACAACTTGAAACTTCAGTTTTCACTCTTCAATCTTCAGTTTTCAATCTTCACGCTTCAAACTTCATGCTTCAAACTTCACGCTTCAAACTTCAGATTATACATTTCTGATATACTATACATTCGGTATACAATATGAAGTCTGAAGTGGGAAGTCACTTCTGGTATTTCGCACAAAAGCGTCACTTCATCGTGTGTCTTCTTTGTATAATCTACTTCGTTACTACATGTACTATTGCGGAAACCAAAATAAATAGCAGTGATAAATTCGACAACATTGTCAAGTGTCATAACAGTGGTTCGAAAATAAACTTTGAGTCCGATACGCCCGGGTCGTACATCGATATTCTTTATGAGAAGGCTATAATCATATTTCAATGTAAAGTTTAAATCGATATACTGTTCATCATACATATGATATCATTAATCATTTATAATTTGTCTTGCCACAAATTATTGCAAATATATTTTCACTGTTTTTGTCTATACAAAACGTGATTTTAAATTTATCATTGCATTTATTTCTGTTTAAAGTGCCCTAGCCTCATTTATGTAATAAATTAAAATGTTATGTTTTTAGGCTTTTTAACCTCAGTGGAGTCCCTTTAATAACTAAAAGCGTTACATTTCTTTTGGGACACCCTGTATTTAACCAAAATTACTCTATGTTTGAAACGATCCGGTATCCCGTGCGTCGCGATATTGTCCTGAACCAAATTGAAACATCTCGTTCATAACATGTTCGGACATATGCGAAATAAAAGTAGTTCTACAACGTAGTTTTAAAAGTAAATATAATTTAAGAGTGTAATCTTTGATTATGCATTAGGAATATACATATGTGGCATCCAAATGAAAATAAAGTCTATTTCGGTAAAATTATGATTGAAAATATGTCTGACATTCAAAATCAATTAAAACTGCCAACTGATTATGAACAAGATAAATTTTTGTCAACCGGTAGACAGTTTGTACAGTTTGTTTTGTTACTTTCTGTTTCTACAACCATGGTAATAAGTATATAAATAATGTAGCATTCGCTTTTATATCTATATTTACTGAATTAAGGTTGGCTTTTACTCGATATATTGTAACAGACTTAGTCAACAACTTAAACCATTAAATTTTTATACGTTTACATGTTTAGTTTCTGAGCGTAGGCTAGACCGAAATACCGTATCCATTCTGTGTACTAGTAATCTGACTATAGTGTTTGAGGTTCTTATCCGAAATTTCAAGGGAAGAGCCGAGAAGTTTCGATTGGTCCTATACCATCACGTGGTATTAGATTAAAAAAAAACCCAGACGAAAGAATTCCAAAGTATAACAAAAGAAGGTGTATCCCGTACGCGAATTGTCTGTTTTCGGAGCAAAAATGTAAAATAGGAACATTTTAGAGTGTCATTTCGATTTCTTTCAACTATATATTGCTTTTGAAGAGAGATTTTGAATTATATGTAAGACGGTAGCTTTTCTGTTATCTTTTTGAGGCGTGCTGCTTTAAACTAATACAAATACTTATCTTTTTGAGGTTTAAAACCGAAAGAGGAAGTGCAAAATTGAAATTTTACGAATCAACATTGGAAAAGAATTTATTCATCCTCAAAACAAAAGTAAGTTACTGCATCTTATTAATAATATATATTGAATTATCGACTACGTTTTCCTTTTTATTTTCAATTATATGTAACTATTCCATAAGAGTGATTTTAAAAGGAAAAGTTTCACGTTGACTCATATAAATTTCTATAGATAGAAAATAAATCTGTTAAGCAAGCTAAGTATTACTTCTAAGTCAGTTTCTATAGTTTTGATTTTTAAATATCAATTTGTTCAAGGACACTTTAATATCTTAATATCTCGTTAAATATCAAGTAACAACAAATTGTTCTATATTATCATAACCTCATTACTTATGTTTTGACAAGGAAACTTATTTATTATCATTACAGAATGTTTCAGTCACCTGAATATTGTAGAACTTTGTCACTGAAATTATCTGAGGTATTAGAGGATGTTGGTGTAAATGAGAAAATGGTGATGAAAAGAAGAAAAATGTTCATGCTGAGGGAGAGTTTAGGTACGATTATGCTCAGATCAACTGGTGAAAAGAGAACTTTGTATCATCTTGGGAGTCAGATTGAAGGTACCACTACTATAGGACTTCGTTCAGATCTTGACACGGTAATTGTAGATTATGACTATAATGTGATACAAGACTGGGCAGAGTGGGAACAAAGTAAGATAAATCTTCTTATGATACAGGATGAGAATGTAACACCAGGATATTGTTTTCTACAACTACTTCGATCTGATGAACCTCTTTTTGAGACAAACATTCCTGATGAACATTACATAAGAGATAGCAATGGGAGAATATTATTAAAAAATACATTCGTAATACTTTTAATTGATGAAAATATTGAGCGACACGGGCCATCAAATGCGATATCCAGGAATGATGAATATTGTGACCTTGACATTGTAATTGCTTATCCTTGTAATTCAAGGCTTCAATCAGTATCACAATTCCTAGAAAGACCCGGTGTTATGAGGTGGTTATTATCTGAAAGTGTCAGATATGCTGCTAGCTGTGATTGTTTTGTTGTTGGTACTAGTAGCAAGATTGCTAGATATCCAGAATTAGAGTGGAGAATATCTACTTCTGTACCAGAGAGATGTTTGATGTTCAATCTAAATATTACACAATTACAATGCTATGTTTTAATGAAAATATTTTTGAAAACTTTTCTGAATGCACAAAATGTAAGTGCCCTTTCAAGTTTTATGTGTAAAACCGTTTTATTACATTGTGTTGAAAATACAAAACAAAACATATGGAAAAGGGACAATCTTTTTACATGTTTATCATACTGCTTGCTAGAACTCCATAGCTATATTCAAAATGAAAATTGCCCGCATTTCATTATTTCTGATAACAACTTAATGGCCGGACAATTTACAGCTGAAGAGAAGCGAGACGTTTTACAGAAATTATGTGACATGATACAGAGCGATGGTAAATGTTTACTGCGAATAAGCATGGATAATATTAGCCACAGATTACAGGTCAAGCTAAGTTCATTTGTTCATATTGTATGTAATATTCCAACCTCACTTGAGATACACGAAGACCGTTCGTCTCAACTTTTCATCAATCTAATGACGGGGATAAGCGGTGGAATATTAGTGTTTAATAATTATTTATCAAATGACCACATATGTTATCTCAAACAAATAATCTTAAGGCTGACATACTATAGTATACGTGGAAATAAACTGGAACAGCTTGCAATTCGTTATCTGTTACCATTTCTTAGTTCCACACTAGGTCTTACAACGGCGTCAACGAGGATTGGAGAGAATTATCCAGTTCCATATGAAGCATTGAAGTGGCTTACATTCGGTTTGAACTCAGATGTTACATCTGGCAGATTAAAACTAGCTTCAATGTTCTACTGTGTAGGTGATATGGATAGAGCAGAGTTCATTCTGAGACAAACTGAAAGTCGATATAACTCTTTTATTGTTGAACCTGTATGTGGCTGCTGGCCTCATCCTTGGACACGTCGGTCTGCTGAATTTAAAAGGAAATGCAGTGAACTAAGTGAAAATTACATCAATAGTATCACATCATGTTGTGTAATATTCATGCAGACAGAAGTAAATTGTGTGCCTCGAGAATTGCGGTATGAAATGATGAGATCTACTCAAGATGATATGCCATATAGAAGTATGTTCGAAATTCTATGGATGAACTATGCTGTTGTTGATTCCCTCCCTTATATCTACTTCTTGCAGTACAAGACATACGGTTATCTACAAAGACATCAGGATCAACAACGGGCACTGAGTAACCTTGCGAAGGTTAGCTTTACAGGTAAAAACTTTGGTCACAGGGAGACAGCTCTCAATCTTCTCGGTCAATGTATGGAACAAGAGGACAAACCAAGGGGAGCATTACAGTGCTATATGCTTTCCTTTCAACATAGAGAACGAAACAATGCTGCCAAATTTCATATTTGTAATTTACTTAGAAAGTATGTTTCGTCCCCAATCTAAATGTTACATCAGGGGGTTGCCAGAATGGGTATGCACCCCCTTCTGTTTGGGGGGTTTGGTAGACGTTCAAAGTTCCCTTTACGGGTATAAACTGACAAAGTTTGAGTTAAACGTTAACAACTTTGTTAAATTGTGTACTTAACCAAAATGTTATCTATTGTTAGTTTGCCACAAACATTCAGTAAATTCGCAGTTATATTTTCGTATTATATAATGCCGTGTTAACAAACAAATCAAAGTTGTATTGTGATCATATCATCATATAATCATAAATAACATCACATTTGTTAAGTACATGTAAATATGATATAATTTATCCAAGGCTAAAATCACTGATGAAAATACAATTTATTTGCGATGTTTATTTTTTTTTTTTGATTGAAGTTTATTGTTGGCTGCAATAAAACTAATATAAACTAATAGAGACTTTTCAGCTTCCATTGTGAAAAAAGCCATTGAATCCTCTTCAGGTACAATTGGGAACCAAGGCGGAACCACATATCTTACGTAATCTATCTGAATAGCTTCCTTACGTGAACGAATTGAACGTCCCTGACAGGATTCGAATCATTAACGGTGATAAACAGTACCTAACTGTCAAAAACATTAGGCTCTCGGCCCCAGAAATAACAAGAGCCACCGCCAGGAGGGGGCAACGCTCGACGTTTTACTTTCTCTAAAAGCAAACAAAGGAATGTTTGAACAAAATCTTAACGTTTCCTTTTTATAAAATTAATCGGTCTGTCTTGTCACATTAGTTTTGTCTATATATTAAATGTTATTTTGGTTTTGGAGTGATGTATGTGGATATATTACCTGTCAAGATTTTATATCACCCGAGCCGTTAGGCGAGAATGATATTTTATCTTGGCAAGTAATATATCCACATATATCACTCCAAAACCAAAATAATAATTTTATTACCCTTCCCCTGCCGAGTTAAGACGATTTTAATATAAATCATTTCTACTTCAAATGAATCGTCGAAATATGATTCGCTTTAGGGTACCCCTTCACCACAACATGACGTCACATAAATACATGACGTATTTTCTTTCGAACCTAACGAATGTAAACAAGAGAAAAGGAGAAGTCTGTTCAACGTACTTTTTTGGAATTAATATCAAGCTTTCTTTCACAAGGTCTTATTTGTTTTCAATACTGATGAGAATATGTATTATTACTCTATTTTGGTAAATATTAATCATTTGACAGTTAAAAATTGCTTGTAAATCGGAATTTACATCGCGTAAAATCAAACCGTGCGCGCATCGCCACGGCGCATGTTGTTTACCCAACGGTGAAAGTATTGTGCATATTACCCGTCTGGCTTGGTAATATCAATTTCTTTCGGGTGACCAATATCCAATTAAAAAGGAGGAAACAATCTTGGTAATAAATTGTATATATAAATATACTATTTAATATATATATATATAAATAGAAACACGCAAAACGCACTTCTATAAATAGGAAATTCTACAAATAGATACACGTGGTGTCACGTGGTGGAGACAGGTGGTAGTGACATGTGTGACACGTGGTGGTGACACGTGGTGTTGACACGTGGTGGGGGTGACATGTGGTGGTGACACGTGGCGGTGGTGGTAGTGTTGGTGACACGTGGTGATGACATGTGGGTCACGTAGTGGTGTCACGAGGTGGAGTCACGTGACGACACGTGGTTGACACGTTCTGTCACATGGTGGTGTCACATGTTGGTGAAACGTGGTGTCACGTCGTGGTGACACGTGTTGCCACGTGGTGAAGTCACGTGGTAAAGTCACGTAGTTGAATCACGTGGTTGAATCCACCTGGTGGAGTCACGTGGTGGAGTCAAGTGGTGGAGTCATGTGGTGGAGTCATGTGATGGAGTCACGTAATGGAGTCACGTAATGGAGTCACATGGTGGAGTCACGTGGTGAAGTCACGTGATGGATTCAAGTGGTGGTGTCAAGTGGTTGAATAACCTGGTTGAATCATGTCGTGACACGTGGTGGTGTCATGTGGTGGTGTCATGTGGTTGAATCCACGTGGAGAAGTCACTTAATTGAATCCACGTGGTGACGTCACGTATTCGTGACACGTTGTGGAGTGACGTGGTGGAGTGTCGTGGTGTAGTGACGTGTTGGTGACATGTGGTGGTGACGACACGTGGTTGTGACATGTTGTGGTGGTGGCACATGGTGGCGGTTACACGTGGTGGTGGTGACACGTGGTGTCACATTGTGGTGACAGTTGGTAGTGACACGTGTTGTTGTTGATAATGATGATGATTTATATATATACACCAATAAATATATAGGTCATTTAATGCAAAATCTCAGAAATTTCAAAGTCATGTAACCTTCAAGGTCAAGGTCATTAAAGAGTCCAAGTGTCTTGTCCTTAAGTATGTTCTGTTATTATATGAAGTTGATCTCTTCAATAACAGTTACAGCCAGTTACAGCCAAAACAATAAAAATTTCAATAATTTGAACTTCAAAGTCAAGGTCAATAATAAGTGAAGGTCAAGGTCTGTCTGGTAATTTTTAAGGGTTATCCTTGAAGATTACTAAGTTCAAGTTTGAAGACAATCCATTTAAAAATAACAAAGTAACAGCCAATAACAGCATGAACAAGCAAAATTTGGACTTTTAACCTTGAAGGTCAAGGTCATTTATGACTGAAGATCAGGGTCTGTCTAGATATCTTTAAGGGATATCCTTGAAGATTATATTGTTCAAGTTTCAAGAAATCCATTCAAAAATAACAAAGTTACAGCCAATAACAGCAGGAACAAGCAAAATTTGGACTTTTAACCTTGAAGGTCAAGGTCATTTATGGATGAAGGTCAAGGTTAGTGTGGTCTACTGAAAGGTCTTGTCCCACGGGTTGTTGTGGCCAAGTATGATGACAATACACCAAGAAATGAAAAACAGTTATGATCCAGGTACAAGTTTGCGGACGGCAACGGCAACGCCGCAGCGACTATAGCAATACCTCTACTTTTTTATAAAAAAAGTCGAGCTAATAAAAATAGAACTATATATTTCAGCGGAAATCAAACAAACAGCTAGCCCCGAACAATCGATCGAGGCGGACAACTTCTGTCATCTGATGGTTTTTCTAGTCAACCTCTGACAACAAGTTCACCTCGGGAATAATGTCAACTGTGGACATTGAGTCAAGTTCTTTGTGGAAAATAAGATGAATGTTAAATATTATATATTTTCGTGTCCGCATTGCTCAAGTATTCTCATATAAATATAATGATTATTAATATTGACGTTGTTTTTGTGCGGGGCCTAATAAACATAAAGTCACTTGTCCATCATCGCTATGTTTCAATCCTGCCAGAGATATTGATGTGAGGAAGCTATGAGCCATCTAGCTAATAGAGTGTAGGTGATTCAACTCTGGAGCCCGCTCGTGTAAGAAATAATGCACGTTAAACACCATCAGTAAGACTGGCATGACGTGATGTGGCCATGCCAGGGTCGATGGAAATATTGATAAACACTTATAAAAGCAATACATTGTGTAATTAATTGTTAAGAAGCATGTCATTTCTACTGCACGACTTGTAAAACGAAACATTCTTAATAAGCAATGTATACAAAGAGGTAAGCTTTGCAATATCACTAATTGCCAGTGATACAAAATAACGTGCACGTAAGATCATATGATAGATCATTTTTTGAAGAGTAGAAAATTCAGAAACGCTAAAAAGGGCAAAAATTATAAACTCTATCAACCTTAAGCATAAAATTGGTTTAACAAATCACTAACTGCAAGTTCTCGAAGTACCTGTATTTGTATTCTACCACTGGGCATTTATTATATTTAGCAGTTTAAAGTGACACTATACTCATTTTTGTCTTGTCAAGTTAAGCTGAATAGACTTTATATTTCAAAGATTGACTTTTATATTGGTGATGACTAAGAGTTGATTTGACATGTTTAAGATAATATATAAATCTGCCAAAAGTATAAAAAAATACTGCCCACTCGTTTAATAAAGTAAACATTTCAGGTAAATGTCCATGAAAGTTTGCAGGTCACATTAGTAATTTCTCGTGCATGCAAAGTAATACATAAAGTTGAAAGAAAGTACTGAAAAATATAAACTTATTTTTACTTCACCAGTTCACTTAAAATCCATGTCAGAATTATGGGCCTTGGAAAGTTTCAAATGATAATAATCAGAAGTCTGCATGAAAAACATTAACCCTGAATTTTTCATGTTAAACAAGAGCAATGTTAACATGGCCATTCCCAACCGAATGTATTTGCTCATTGGAAGAATTTAATGTAGTACACCAGATGGCTGAAAATAACAAAGGGCAATAACTGAAAAATAATGCAGGGTATCATTTATTGCCTTTATTTTTCAAACTTAATTTTTTGTCCAGAACATAACACAAAAGCCTTTTAGATATCAGCATTAAATTTCGTAGGTGGATAGATCTCACTCAGTAGGTGTGCAGTGCACAAGAATTATAACTATAAAAATTCATAATTTTTGAGTTATTGCCCTTTGTTATTTTTCTTCTTTTTTTCTGGGTGGAGCATAACTCAAAAATTCTTTGAGATGTCAATATGAAACTTCAAAGGTGGATATATTTTTTTGAGGAGGAATGCTGTGCACAAGAATGATAATTCTACTCTTTATAATTTTTTAGATGTTACCTTTTTTATTTCTCCTACCTTTTGTCCAGATCTTGAGATTTGATTTGGACAAAAATGTGGGACGGACGGTCGGACGGACGGAGACTATTTCTATATCCCGCCGCCTTTTCGGCGGGGGGGGGGTAAAAAGGATCATAATTCTGTCAAAATTCTGTATACCTAATATACTCTCAAATACATGTGTGTGAAGTATAAAAGCAAATATCATTAAAGGTTGATGAAATATGATGTTGCATGCAAAACCTTAACCCAAATATTATACCGAGGCTTGATTGAGTAGGGTAACCATTTTTTCTCGAATAGTTGAGGTAAAACAATGGAAGAATATATCCCGGTTGCAAAAGTCTTATTTCAGAAAGAGTTATTATCAGTAAAAATCACACTAACGTAACGGATCTTGGTCAGTGACTTTCAATTGTAAAACTGTAGACGTCTGTGAAGTTTTAGGTGGTCTAATCTAGTCATACATTTACAACACGAAGTTGTACTGAAAACATTAATCTTTTAATTTCTGTAGCACAACACAAGTAAAAAGTTATGTTTTTTATTTTTGTCACAATCATATACGAAGTACGTACAATAAATAAGAGCGCCATGATGGCCCTGAGTCGCTCACCAAAAAAACAACTGCTTTTCAGTGTATGAATGTCAATATATTCTAATATTAAATTTGAGCATAGAATATGTTTAAACAATAATTTAAGGAAATGCCATGACCTGGGGCATTTAAGCTTTAGCT